CAAGGTATCCCACTCTTGGATTGTGACTTGGCACACCCGGCCTCTGCCACGGGACAATTGTGCAACCTGCAACAATCTCCCCCTCAACAATTGCCCACCAGGAATCGAACTCGTGACCTTGGCTCTGATACCAATTGTTAGGATCGAGCGCTTACCACTAGGCCAAAAGCTATAGCCATTAGTCAGAGCGCAACTCTTTTTACTTAAGAGTAACAGGCCAAGCGCCACGATTCGATTGTGACTCGGCCCACCCGGCCTCTGCCACAGGACAATTGATGCTACCTGCAACAATCTCCCCCTCAGCAATTGTCCTACGAGGAATCCCACTTGGATTGTGACTTGGCCCATCTAGCCTACGCCACCGATTGTGACTTGGCCCACCTGGCCTGCGCCACGGGATAATTGTGCAACTTGCAACAATCTCCCCCTCAGCAATTGTCCTACGAGGAATCCCACTTGGATTGTGACTTGGCCCATCTAGCCTACGCCACCGATTGTGACTTGGCCCACCTGGCCTGCGCCACGGGATAATTGTGCAACCTGCAACAATCTCCCCCTTAACTATTGCTCAACAGAAATCGAACTCGTGACCTTGACTCTGATACCAATTGTTAGGAACAAGACAATAATAAAGGAAAGAATAAAGGAGAGAAAAATAAACGACACAAGAATTTTAACGTGGTTCGGCTAAAATATGTATGCCTACGTCCACGACTACACTAGGAAGTATTTTTATTTCTGTGTGTATCTCAAACTTTACATAGGGTTGCTTATATAACAAAATAGAGAACCTCATCTCACAATCCTAATCGATGTGGGACTAAATCAAGCACCATAATACTAACAAGATTAAGTATAACAAGTTTTAACCCTCTTCACTACCATTATAAATATTTACTTTACATTAAAACAGTAAACACAATTTTTATTTGATAAATTTTCCAATTTGTAGATAAGGCCAAAATATTTTAAATATTAATTTATATAATTTTGGATGGTGATGACACTTAAAATTAAATATTTTTGAAATGTGAGAAGAGAAAATAGAGCAATTAAAACCATACTGTCTAGCTCCGAAGAACTGCTTTCCAGATCTGCTTCACCCACAATAATACCCACTTCTCTATAATTTGTAGATGTATCTGCAGGGCGGAGAGAAAAAACACAGAATAACTCATAAACTACTTAAATTAAGAAAAAGTCGAAAAATTATCAGCATAGTGCAATATTATTTACAACTACTGAAATTTCAAAAGTAAGTGCTTTGTTTATACATAATCATATATCACCATACTTTTATATAACGTCTCATATAATAACCTAAACAAACGCCATACATCTAATACGAATGACGTGCTAAATTAATAAAAATATATTGGAATCAATTAGTAACTCCTTCATTGTTTCATGCTTGGAATTAATGAAAAGCCTGTTCAAGATTCAACTTTACAGTTACCAGCTCAACTTTCAACATTCGATCTGTGTGGAAGAAGTGTTGAAGAAGATTTGGTAAAGATAAAGATAGGCATATGAAGTATATAAAACATTATATTAACGATGTGATTAATTGATTAATTTAAATAATAACGTACCCTGATGAGGCTTTGGAATGTGAGGTGCAGCTGAGTCTGACATAGCTCCGGTGCTTTCCTTCTTCTATCTTTCTGGAAAATTTGTCTGAGAGAATGGCTGGTTACGATGATTTATCAAATGACTTTGGAGCTAACACACATAGATAACAATTCCTTCTAAGAAACGATAGAATTGCGCTAACCAAGCACTGTCTAAAGTACTGTATTAGTTAAAGACTCTGCTTGATATATTTTATTTAAAAGTTAAGTATAATTATACGTTTTAAAGGAAAGATATTAAATTACTCAAAAACTACTCTTTATCTTTTATCTTTTTAATTATGGTTCTGACATCTTTTAAATTAATTTAATTCCTTCCTATTTTAAAATATAATAAATATTTTGTTTATCATTGTTATAAATATAAACTATTTATTCTACCAAAAGAAATATAAAATACTTATCCATAAAATCTAAAAAATATAATGATTAAAAATTTTAAAATAAGTATTTCATATTATTAATTACTAAAAACTTATTGCTAGTATAATTTTTAAATGATTATTATAAAAGTTAATGCTCTTATATATCATAATTTGTGATTAAATAATGATTTACACAATCAAAATTTTCTCATTTACAATTAAAAAATGGTCTTCTTCATTTTAAAATAATACTCTTTATGTTAAATTAATTATCTTTTGAAAAAACTTACTATTAAAATACGTTTATATGGTAGTGTGGATTTTCTCTCTTTAAAAAGGAGTTCTTATATAAATAATTATTTCTTTATAATGATTATTTAAAAAAAAAAAACTTTGGAGCAAAATATAACAGTGTAAGTTCACTCAATTTGTTGATGCACTGAAAAAGTTAAAATGAATTTCATTAATTAGAGACATACCTCCTCCTCTATTTTTCTTTATCCAAATTATTCAACTTTTCACCTTATTTATTTCTTAGTAATTTTTAATCTATATACTTATTTTCATATTGAGAAACTCAACCAGTCCCATCCTAATGGGGGAAAAGATTCATTGGGAGTTGCAAAAGTAGAGAAAAATTGAAACGCGAGCTCCGGCACCAATATCAACATAAATCCAATTTAATAAACCGTACCTAACCTAAATAATTTAACTCACTGATTGTTTCCACCATGAATAAAAATACTACTATATAAGTAGTACAGTTTAAGTTGTTTATACATATACCAGTCTTAATGACCTTTTATCAATTACTAATAACTTCTCATTTTAAATATAGAGAGTTATATAAATAAAAAAATATATTATTTTTTATTATTTTAATAAATGTATTAATATTTTTATTATCTGAATAATTTAAAAAAATTATTTTTTAATTATTTATTATTTTCTCTCTTTAATAAATATAATTAAAAAAATAAAATATATAATTACTTTAAAAATAATTTATACAATTTTAAATTTTACAAAATGACATTTAAAACAAAATTTTTCCACTTTTTGAAACAAAGAGAATTAATTGGAATCAATATATATTAATAAAAGATAATAATAGATGGTTATTGTGAAACTTGTTCAATAAATTTAAAAAAAAAATCTGGAATGGGAAACAGGAATTTCTTATAAAAAGGGCTTACTAACTTCTTCTTCTTCTTTTTTTTTTTTTACGTTCTATGACATATATGAAGGCGTTTTACTTTTCATTTTTTTGCTTTTTGGTCAATTTAAAAAAAATGTAAATTATATGGATAAAAATTAAGAAGATCAAAATATTATTTTTGGTCTATTATATTACTTTTTTTATAGGATTTTAAGTAAATTGTAGTATCTATATTAATAAGTGGACAAAAATGTGTATCAACCAATAACATGAAATTTGTATCAACCAATATGATAAATAATTTATTATTTTTCATGTCTTTAACAAACCTTATATGTAAAGTTTATTTAATTCTTAAAAAATAATATTTATGATGAAAATATAACGAATCTGATTAAAAGGAAAGATAATTAAGTAAAAAAAAAAAAAGACAGAGACTTTATAAAGGATTGAAGACTTCGTAGATAAGTTAAAATTAGACCACTATTTAAGTCTAGAAAAAATATATATGAAGTTCTTTTTTAGAGATAAACTAAACTCACCGTTTTCATTTTTATTTTTATTATCTGGATTTACAATTTCAATATTTAAATTTATATTGGATAATGAAAATATTTTTTATATTTATGTTTATAAAATAATAATTTTTTAAAGTTAAGATGTTAAATATATATATATATATATATATATATATAAGTGATATTAATTTTTATTTTAGAAAATGTTTCACTTTATCCTTTTAATATGAGAGAAAAAATTAATATTTTATTATAATGAAAGAAAATAAATTATTGCCAAAGAAAATAAAAAGGAAAATAAAATAATAAAAAATATTATTAAAAAACTGATTGTAAGTTAAAATATAAATTCTTTACGAGAGGTTTCGTATTATTGAAGAACTTTTTTATCTACGTTGAAAAAAGTGGGTTAAAAATGTCCTAATAGAATCTCAAAGAAAAAAATGATATAACACCATGTAAAACAGTCTTATTTTGTGGGGTGATTAATTGACACTCATGAGAATAAAAATTTAACTTGTACTTTATTATATTAATATCTTTAATTTTATAATGGTTGTATTTTCTAACTGCATTGCCAAATAAGCATCTTTCTAAAATAAGAAGGAAATTATACCTAGAAAAGAAAAAAATGTAAAATATATGATTTGACAAAGAGAGAGAATATAAATAGTAAAAAAATATACAATCTATTGAAATGGTGTATAGGGGTAGAATATACGTTTTATTATTTTTTTATTTAAGTTAATTAATTTTTTCGAATAAGAATTGATAGACATGTTAAGAAAGAAAACATGAAGTATATTGTGCGATCATATTCTCAAGAAAAATAAAGAGTTTGAAAAGCGTAATCGTGAAATTAAAAAAATTTAAGATATATTGAGATAGAAAAATGGTAAAAATTGAAAGGGTTTAAATTTACCATAAATTTATTTATATTAAAAGACAATAAAACAAAGATAAATAAGAAAGATGTTCTGAGAAAAAAGTCTTTTTCATGTTATCTTATGTAGACGAAAGATCAATGAAAAATTAAAAAAGTAAATTTTAATATATTAAAGATTAAATGGAAGATTATCCGGAGAGAAAGAAGCTATCTTTCAAAAAGAAATATCATGCTAAAAAAAATTTGCTTGAAATCGATTACAAAAGAAAAAACATTATAATACAACAATAAAAATTAACGAAGTGATGATCCATTAAAAAAAACATTGTCAAATATATCAAGAAATACACAAGTCCAACGAAAAAAAAAAAAAAAAAAATTTCACAAGCTTTCCATCTTATAATCCACCACAATCTCATATTTTAGTTTATTCAACCACATTTAAGCATTTTTCTTTGCCCACGTGAGGAAGACATAGATCTTGTAGATTGGCCATATCAGTTTTGCCCGCTTCCCTGGAGAATCCTCCAAATAAGATAGCACTGAGCATGCAATGCCAATCCATCGCTTATAATCGAGTGTAAGATGCACAATAAACACCACTACACCAAGTCCACAAGTGAAGTAAAGGATCCAACTGGATAAGAATTCAAATATCAATACGGAAGCGGAGATTAGAGCGCTAAACATGAGTGCAACAGAGACGAAAAGTGACACATTCCCAAATACCAACTTTGTTTGCCGCAAGCGGACAGACTCTTCTTTTGGTTTTGCCCAACTTGAAGGAAGAATAACCGAAGCATAGAAGAACATAGATGAAACACAGAAGCATGTTCCAAATGCAACCGATAGAAAGAAAAACGTGTACCATATCTTCCTCGTAAAAAAAGGAGTATTTGTACCATCAGTATTCTCGATAGGAATGGTCATAGCTCCACTGATCCCTAGGCTGATAATCAGAGTTGCTACCACTATCAATGTATTTGCCACATCTTGCAGTCCTGATATTGATTCTTTGTGCAACTTTTTGTGTGACTCGTAGAACAATTCTTCAGGAGTCTCATTATATTTGTTTCTCATTGTTTTCATTGCAGCCGGAACTATTTTCTCCACCATCTGTTTAGTTAAAAGTGAACGCTATCATATTATATAGTGTGCAAGATAATTAAAGAACATAAGTATATATCGAAGTAATTATTAAAAAAAAAAAGTAATCAAATTTTTATATTTCTTTATACATATAACAAAGGAGAGAGATATCGTTAACTAACATATAAATACATAAGAAACGCTTAAAAAAGACAACAAGTAAAGAGGAAAACTTTACTTTTTAAAAAATAAAAATAAAAAATCATAGTCGTGTAGATATATACATACCTGAAACCATCTCTCTTCACTACGCATTAGAACATAGTCAGCTGATAATCCGGATCTACCATTAGGTTGTGTCATCTTTGCAGCTAAGTGAAGAACAGTGTTATCCTCTATATCAGCCAATTTTATCAAAACATTCTTGGCAGCCCCCTTGCTTAATATTAGTCTGTATACAGATTCATGTCGATGAAGAATAGCAATGTGAAGTAAGCTTTGCTTGCTGGAATTCACTTCAAAAAGCAAATCAGGATGGTGCTCAAAAAGAAGCTTTAAAATCCAAATGCTTCCTGATTCCGCTGCATTGAATATTGCTTTTGACAATTGTGCATGGTTCATTGTCTCTTTCTCCTTTTCCATTCCATTAAAGACCGAACTTACAATGTCTCGATGGGCAATCTCTGCCTCGCACAAGGCTACCAATGAGTTTAATGCATGTTAGTCAAATTCACTTACATGCTATTAAATTTAATTACTCAAATAAAGTAATTAGTAAGTGTTGTACTTTGTGAATACTTGTTATACCTTTCTTCTAGGTAATATATATATATATATATATATATATATATATGCATATATATATATATATGCAATCATTTTATGTTTTTTTCTTTTGCTATTACACTATTGATATTGAAAGTAGATAATAAGCATCATCTTCACAACCGTATCTATCTATCTATCTTGAATGTCTAGTTTCTTTTATAAACGCATCTATTCAAATGTATAGGTTTTCTTGTAAAATTTCTTAAAATTCATGCATACATATTTTCATTGTTATCTGACACAATTTTATTTCTTTATTTACTTTCAAAATATATCTCTTTTCGTTAATTTATACAAACAAAACAATACGTTGTATATAATAAAAACCAATATAAATTATCATATAATTTATTTTTTATGTGCATGATGATTATATATGATATACGTGCTCCTACTATTTCATATTAGTAACATCGTACTCCCAAGAAATTTGAATAACAATTTAATTTTTTTAATAATTAAAAAGTAAATTTATGATTGATAAATTTGTAAATTTTTATTGCTCTTTAAAAAATATAATTGTAGTAAATTTAAGATAGTAATATAACTAATTAATTTTAGAATTTTGCCATGACTTTAAACAACTAACCTGACATCAAAAATTATCAAATGTAAATTGTTTTTTCAATTTAATACATATTTCGCTATTACAAAAAAAAAAATACCCACACTTTATGTGATATATCTGCCTGTTATGCACTTAGGGACATTTTTTTCTCTCACCACAGAGGCAAAAACAGTGTAGAATAAATTTTAAGTCCATAAAATGGTTAAAATGTGAAATTAATTATATGTTCTGGGTTCATATATATTCACTTCTACAAACGTAACAGAAAGAAGCAAAATCTTTTTAGGTGCTTCAAAATAATGAGAGAAATGCCAAGACTATGTGTGCATAAATATTAAGAAATTTCTAGATATAGTCTTTAGTGCTTTAAAATACTACAACTGTAATAATAAGATATTATAATTATTTTTTTTAAAAACAAGTTATCTTTGTTATGTTGAAATATTTGTAATTGTCCTCTATCTTTCTTATAATGTTTGTATTTGAAGAAGCAAAAGTTACATTTTTGGTTGATTAACAAGGTCTAAAAGGTATTACAAAGTGAGATTGAATTGTCAGCCATGTATGTTGTCTTCATTTAGAAGGAGGAGTTTACAAAGCACAATACAATATAACTAACCCTACCGTATAATGTGCTAAGAAAAGTTAAGATTGAGAACACTGCAATGGAAGATGTAGGAAGAAAAGTAGTTTTTAAATACCATATCCTAAAGTTAGAAGAATCTAAAGTGTTTAGGGATTATGAAAACTCACAAGAATGAGCAAGCATTTGCAAAGGTGTCAATCCCGCTTCGTTTTCAACAGTAACCAGTTTTGATTCGCTATCCAATAATTTTGATGCCACGGCTGTCATATGCCCAGAGTCAAGTCACGAAGCAAGAGATAAATGGCATTATAATAAATTACTGTTAAATATTATGCAAAAGAAATGTTCTTCAGCAACATGCGGCGGTTAGCTTTAGCAAGAAAAACATCGCGACAGTGCAGTGGGTAGCTTGTGTAGAGAAAATTGAAAGAGTTATATTTTGATGAACATCATCTTACAGTAAATATTGTTGTTCATGGTCAAGAAAAATAGCTTCACAACGTCTTGGAAGGTTAGCTTGTTCTGTTTGTCCTCAGAAGTCTTTTGAAATAAGAATTCTGTCAAATCAATGTGGCCAGCAGAAGATGCTAATTGAATTGGAAGCAAATGGTTTTGGTCTCTAATCCATAGCAACCTTGGATTCTTGCAGAACAGAATTTCAACAATTTTCTCATTTCCGGTTATGGCAGCCAAACAAAATGCCGTGTTCCCTTCCGCCTTGTAATTTTCCAAATCTTCCCTGCTCATACAATGCATCAACTTTTCTACAAAACTAGTTTGTTCCATGCTCACTGCAACGTGTAGGGCAGTTGTTCCAACAGCATTTAATGGATTTCGCCACCAATAAGGATGAAATTTAACATAGGATGAAGCCTCACTCCAATTTCCTGAAGCTGCTCCCATGTATATTTGACTTTTTTGTGTTTCTGCATCTCATGCATTTCTAAATCAAATTTCTTTCGCAAGTTTGACTTACCTTCAATTAGTAGATAACATCAATAATAATAATAATAATAATAATAATAATAATAATAATAATATATATAAGATAATTTTTCAATTTTTTTATTTTATAAATTATTTACAAATAACAACTAATTTATAGATATTCATTATTAGAATATTAGTTACTTTTTACCAATATTAGTTACTTTATAATTTTCATAAAAAAATTATAAAAATATTCTTATAAAATATCATAATTTCTAGTAGTAATTTTGATATTATTATCCTATTATTTTAACTAATTTTATTTATAATATTTATTTAATTATTTTGATATTAAAATTTAAGATATAGATAGATGATATTTTTTTTCTTTAATTCACATTGTTTTCTTAGCTTTTACATTAATTGACATGATGAAAGAATGTATAAAATGTTTATTTAATAAAAAATATGAAGTTACAGTCTAAAATGAATAGTAGAGTGCACAATTGAAAAAAATATATATAATAATTAAAAGTAAAAAATATAAGTAATTTTTCTTTTTGTAAAAGACGTAAAAAAAATTCTAAACTAAATAAAAAAAATTATAAACACTGAAAATATATTTTTGAGCAATAAAATAAAAATAAAACTTACATAAAACATCATAACATTTCTGCATTTCATACAATTTTACCAAACATAATTTTTTGTGAAAGATATTCTATATCTTAATAAATGTAACCTAATATTTATTTTCCTAATCTTAACTAAAAATAAGTTATTAAACTAATAGTTCATTTCTTCTTGCACTACCTCTAGTCTATCAAACAAACTTGTATTATACTAGCTAATGGTCAAAATTAAACATTAATATATAAAACTATATTGCGTTTAGCTAATTGTCACCATCCAAAACTGTTTTTTCCCATTTGAAAATTTAAACCTACGTATTAGTTGAGTAAATCTATTGAATGTTTCGCACCCATATACACTGAAAATATAAAAAGGGAATTACTATAAGTCGTAAGAGGATGAATAATTAGCGAGACAAACTAAAACCTGAAATGTTCTTATTTGCTTTCGTTTTTTTTTTTTTTCTTTTTAATAATATCTTTATTCAGGTAAGTTGTCACCCAAGAAATAAATAATTCTCAAATATTAGAACAGAAAATAAACCAATTAAACAGACATACTGTTTAGCTCCAGGATACTGCTTTGGAGTGCCTGTGATTGTGAATCCTGTGTCTGATGCACAACAATATTCACTTCTCCACCATCTGTAGATATACTTGTCAAAGCATGTGTTATTATGCATGTCTACATCTGAAATGATGCATGAGTAATGCAGGAGTAAACAAAAAAAATGTGGAAAATAGAAGGAAAATGCAATGCCATTTATACAACTACGAACTGAAACTTATAGAAAGTAAACACTTTGTTTATAATTGGTTTTATATACTAGTTATTCATAATACTAACGAAAAGTACAAAACTTAAACTGAGCAGGCACGCATTAATGCACCGAATGAATTAGTTCAAACTATTAACAATGTCATAATAATTTAGAACTAAAACATACCCTCTGGCATGGTGATTGCATCTGAGTCTGAAATTTGCGGTGTAATTTTCATCATTCTGATTCCGGCTACTGGAAATAGTGACAGCAGATGGTGTGATCTTTACTGTTGATATTTTTCTTGGCGAATGATGTACTTCATGGACTCAAAAATGAAAGAAAAGAAATCGGGGGAGGCTTAGAAAAGTCACTTGAACATCGTGCTAGCCTTGGAGTTCTACTCTTGTTGACTTTGAATTCTACTGCCAACCAAGTCTCCTTTCCTCAAGAGGTGTCATATAAACCCTACCCTAGCTACACATATTCACCCTCACTGTTCTTTTGCACGTTTTTATATATTTAAATTAATATTTTCTGATACAATCTTTAAATTAGGTTAACTTGAGGCACCAAAGACAACTAAACAAATATATTGGCACTAGTATGTTTATAATAATTAAAAGTTAAGGTGCTTTAAAATTTAAAACACGTACTTAATAGCAAACATGTAATGGCTTTAGTAAAAAGAATGAGTTGTTTTATGATATGATGTCTGCTATGATAATATTTATATATAAATTATTTGTATAAATAATGGAATGACACTCTATTTTTATTCAATTATAATTTTATTTTATTTAAATATCTTAATAAATTAAAAAAAGGAAGTATATAAATTCCCTCAACCCTAAATGATAATTGTAATCCACTGAAATGATTTGAATACACACAGCATAGCATGTGATGTAATTTTTTTATTATTCTCGTGCTTTGTTTTATTACCCTTGGCATGTGATCAACTGTCAAAATCGAGAAAAATAGAACTGGATCTAATAATAAAAATGGACCAATTTGAATTGGCCGTTGGTCTTGGATTAAAAGAAGTGTCATGCGTATTAGAGTATTGAAATCCAGCGATCGTATTCAATTTAATTTTTAAAGAAGCATCAAACCTAACGCTTAAAATTATAAAATGTATGTTTGATAGAAAATATTTAATCCATTTTTTTAATACATGCGTACACAAATTAATAAAAATATTAATTTTTATTATATAATAAATTTAGTAATACTTTTATAAAAATAAATTTATAATAACTTGTTATCTTTTCTTTATTTAAAAAAATAATTAATATATTTGTAAACTTCATAAAAAAAATTTCTAATAAAATAGCGAATTAAAATAAAGTAAATTTAAGTTTATATCACAAACAACTCAAAAGTAATTGGATCTAGGAGTAGCAATAACCTGTATACATACTAGATCCTAAAATCCTAAACCTAGATCCACCCACCCATTCCCATATTATTAATTTACTCTATTCCATCTTGAGAAACTCAACCGATCCCATCCTAAGCGGGGGAAAGATTCTCTGGGAGCTGCAAAAGTTTAGAGAAAAATTGAAACGCGGGCCCTCACAATTATGATCACCAAAATTAACTGCATAAATTAATAACTTAACTCATATCATTGTTTCCACCAAAAGAATTTCATTCTTAAAAGAGTCCTCCTCGTATTTAAAAGAATAAAAATAAAACTCAATAACTTTACATGAACTGAAGAAAATAGGTAAGTCCTTCTATTTATATTATAATTATAACAATTTTAAATTATGTTTTCGTTTCGATTCGTTATCCTAATAAAAATTTTGTTAAGTTTTTTTTTTTAGATCAAACCTAATCTGACATAATATTAATAAATAAAATTATCTTTTAAATATGTTATTGGCTTCATATCTAGTTTATTGTGTTGAATTTAGTTAAAAATAAATGTCATTTTGGACGACGATGAAATTCTAACATATCTATTATTTTTTAAATCGAATCAACATCAGAGATTAATGACCATATATACTTAATAATTTTAAACTGTTATTATATTTTAAGTGCATAATATTTGTTTTATCTTAACATTATTCAACATTAAATTATTTAATGCATTTGCCATTGATAAAATATACTACCTCCTGTTTGGTTAGAGAGTAAGATTTATATCTTTAATTGTGGGAAATAAAGGGAAGGAGAGAAAAAGGAGAAATTTATTGTTTAATTTAACTTCAGTGAGAAAAAGAACAAGAAATTTAAAAAAATTGAAAAAATTCTATAAATTAAAGTACATACATAGCAAATTTAATTTATGAATAATCTTATTTTATTTTTACAAAAAAATTACGAAAAAAGATTGGCAAAGAAAGTTTGTCGAATGAAATTTGTGTGTAATAATAAAAGTAGATATATAGCTACTAACATAACATATAGCATTCATGAAAATAGATTTACATTAATTTCAAAATAATTTCACATAAATTTACAATGTACTTAATAAAAAAATAATTCTTATTAGTATGGAATTATAACCATAATATATCTCATATATAAAATAAAACATAAGATCTCCAATTATTCCATAGCATTTCACTCTTTATATATATATATATATATATATATATATATATTCGTACATCATGATAATTCAAATAAAAAAAATCATTCAAACATAATTTTTTACTACATATATAAATATTCATTTCATCGAAAACATTTATACATCATTACAAACACAGAACATATTACTTTTATAAGTTTACGTTTTCATCAAATTTAATACGAATTCCCTCCATCAAGAGGTATATGGTAGAATCTCAAAGAAAATAAAATGTAAAACAGTCTTAAAATAAGAAACATCTTTGCAAACTTTCCATCTTATATAATCCACCGTAACTCTTTAGCAGAATCTTATATTTTCGGTCATCCAACCACATATTTAAGCCTTTTTCTTTGCCCATGAGAGGAAGAGATGGATCATGTTGCTTGGCCATATCAGTTTTGCCCACGTCCATGGAGCATCCTCCATAAAAGATAGCACTGAGCATATAATGCCAATCCATCGCTTATAATCAAGTGTAAGATGCACAATCAACACCACTACACCAAGTCCACAAGTAAAATAAAGGATCCAACTGGATAATAATTCAAATATCAAAACGGAAGCGGAAATCAGAGCGGTAAACATGAGTCCAATAGAGATGAAAAGTGCCACATTCCCAAATACCAACTTTGTTTGCCGCAAGCGGACGGACTCTTCTTTTGGTTTTGCCCAACTTGAAGGAAGAATAACCGAAGCATAGAAGAACATAGATGAAACACAGAAGCATGTTCCAACTGCAATCGATAGAAAGAAAAACGAGTACCATATCTTCCTTTTAAAAAAAGGAGTATCTGCACCATCAATATTGTCGATAGGAATGGCCATAGCTCCGCTGATCCCTAGGCTGATGATCAGAGTTGCTACCACTAACAATGTATTTGCCACATCCTGCAGTCCTGATATTGATTCTTTGTGCAACTCTTTGTGTGAATCATAGAACAATTCTTCAGGAGTCTTCTCATGTTTTATATTTCTCATTGTTTTCATTGAATGCGGAACTATTTTCTCCACAATCTGTTTGGTTAAAAGTGAAGACTATTATAGTGAGGAAGATAAAGAATATAAGTAATCACATGATATTTCTTTATATATATAACAAAAGAAAGAGGTAAATAACAGATATTTCCTGTTATTACCGGTAATATTAAAGAAAGTGTGTAAAGAAGAGAATTAATAAAGAAGAAAACATTATTCTTAAAAAGAAAATGGTAATGTGTCTATATATACATACCTGAAACCATCTCTCCTCACTACGCATTACAACATAGTCTGTTGATAGTCGGGATTTTTCTTTAGGTTGTGTCATCGTTGCAGCTAAGTGAAGAACATTGTTACCGTCTTCATCAACCAATTTTATCAAAGCATTCTTGTCAGCCCCCTTGCTTAATATTAGTCTGTATATAGCTTCATGTCGATGAAGAATAGCAATGTGAAGTATGCTTTGCTTGCTGGAATTCACTTCAAATAGCAAATCAGGACGGTGCTCCAAAAGAAGTTTTAAAATCCTAGTGTTTCCTGATTCTGCTGCATCGAACATTGCTTTTGACAATTGTGCACTGTCGATAGTCGCTTTCTCATCCTCCATTGCCCTAAACACCGAATCTTCAATGCGTTGACGGGCAATATTTCCCTCGCACAAGGCTACCATTGAGCTTAAATTAGTAGTCACATTCACATACATGCTATTAAATTTAGTCAAATACAGTAAGTACAGATATCAGATACAGTGCCCCCATAGCCCATTGTGTTTAATATCTAGACAATAACGATCATTTTTTAGTTAGATTTATGAAGGAAGTTGTTTATATATGTTACATATATGAAAAAATATATATCATTTAAAAGTCGATTCTATGTTAAATGAAAAGTAAGTTTTGAATCGTAATAGTTTTGTGGACACTTGTTAGGTCTTCCTTCTAATAAACATCACTTTCTCAATCATAGTCCATCCTGAATTTCTAGTATCTTTTAAGCGCATCTATTCAAATCTATAAGTTTTCTTGTGAAATTTTTCTTAAAATTCATACGTACATATCTTCTTTCTTATCCAACACAATGCATGAGTTTTTTTTTTTTAATTTCAAATGTATCTCTCTTTTCGTTAATTTTCATAAAAAAAAATATTGTAATATAATAAAAACTAATATAAGTTATCATATAATTTATTTTATGTGTATAATAATTATATAGGATAATATATGCTACAAAATATTTCATATTTATACTCTCAAGAAATTGAATACTAATTTTATTTTTTTTAATAATTAAAAAAGTAAAGTTGTGATTGATTATATATATCGAATTGATAAATTTGCATTACTCTTTAAAAAATATAATTATTGGAAATTTAGGATAGTCGTATAGCTAAGTAATTTTAGAATCCTTGTTATGATACAACCAACTTATCTTTGTGATAGGTTAATTATTATGTTCGACGTATTATTCGTTTTGGAGTTTTTGTCTGACATGATGTTATCTTTAAAAGACGATCGATAGATTAAAGGAGAAGAATATATTTAAACTACCCTTAGTCTCGACTCCTAAGTGATATGAGACTTTATAAGCATATCGAAACATAAGCCCTTAGTCGAGGACTAAGAGATATGTATGAGTGGAGCGAAATTCTACTATCAATCTTACGATGGATGTCAATGTTTCAATTAAGAATCAAAAGTATTTCGGTCTCATGTCCTCTATAATAACATTATTAAAGTTAATTCGCACGTATGAGGTATTATCCGTTTTTTAGTTCTCCTCCATCAAGATTTTGTCTTTTAAGAGGTATTTATTAAAGACAAATAACATCAACATTCATGAGATCAAGACACTCTTAATCCTTAACCAGAAGAAAATATTTGTAAACTATCTTGTGATATGTTTATTATAATTGTTGGTAATGAATTAGCAAAAGTTAGATGCTTTGGTTGACTAACGAGATCTAAAAGGCGAGAATGAATTGTCCGGCACATTGTATTCAGAAAGATGGAGAAGATTTCAGCCAACACAATACGATATAACTAACTCTACCATGTAATGTGCTGCGAAAAGTTACGATTGAAAAGACTGAAATGGAAGATGTAATAATGTTAGAATAACTAAAATGTCCAAGGATTATGAGAACTCACAAGAATGAGCAAGCATTAGCAAAGGTGTCAATCCCGCTTCGTTTTTTGCGGTAACGAGTGTTGATTGGTCATCCAATAATTGTGATGCCACGGCTGTCATATGCCCAGAGTCAAGTCGCGAAGCAACAGAAAAATGTTCATTATAAGTTAAATGTTATGCAAAAGAAATGTTCTCAGCAACAGCGTGACTGTGCAGTGGGTAGCTTGTTAGAAAAAAGTGAAAGAGTTGTATTTTGATGAAAAAGATAAGTGCGTAATCTTACAGTAAATACGGTTGTTCATGGTCGACAAAAATAGCTTCTCGACGTCTGCTAAGGGTAGCTTCTTTTGTTTGTCATCTGAAGTCTTTCGGAATAAGAATTCTGTCAAATCAATGTGGCCAGCAGAAGATGCTAATTGAATTGGAAGCATATCGTTTCGGTCTCTGATCCATAGCAACTTTGGATTCTTGAGAAACAGAATTTTAACAATTTTCACATTTCCAGTTAACACAGCCAAACAAAAAGCCGTGTTCCCTTTTGCCTTGTGATTTTCCAAATCTTCGCTGTTCATACGGACCATCAACTTTTGTACAAAACTAGTTTGTTCCATGCTCACTGCAACGTGTAGGGCTGTCATTCCTCGATCGTCTAACGGAATTCGCCACCAATGAGAATGCATTTCTAAATAGGAAGCTTCACACCATTTTCCTGAAGCTGCACCCCTATATATTTTCCTTTTTTGCGTTTCTGCATCTCATACATTTCTTATAATCAAATTAAACGTATGAAATTTTTACTTTTTTTTTTAATTTAATAAAAAAAATATGTTAAGATATGGTCTAGAATGAATAGTAAAATACACAATTAAAAAAATTATAATAATTACAAGTACAAATTGTGATTAAAACATTTATTTGTCAAAAATAAAACTATAAAGACTGAAATATTTCAGAAATAAAATAAAAAATAAATTATTTAAAACATCATATTAACATTTCCGCATTTCATCTTTATCAGATATTTGAATATACAAACCGAACCTGTATCGTCTATATCTCAATAAATGTAACTTAATCTTTATTTTCCTAATTTTAACTAAAAAATTAACTTATAAGTCATAAAATTAAGAAATTATTCAATTTAATTTATTTTTTAATTTTTATAACAGTTTTAGAGATAAAATTTAAAATATTTTTAGATGAAAGAAAATAACATGTAGAGAAATAAAATTACATGTTGAAAAAACATTTTTAAATAACTTTATTATAATAATTATTAGTGAAAGTAGATACTACTTGGCTTTTTAGCTGTTAAAAACAAAAAAATTGCTTTTGAAAACAAATTTTACAACACGATCATAACAAAAATTAATAATTAAAATTAAAAACTGTTAACAAATCAAAAACAAGTTCTAATAATTCATGGCACGATTTCTAGTCTATCAAACAAACTTGTATTATACTAATTGGTCGAAACTAAACATTAATATGGAAATATATAGTATTTAAGCTGATTGTCACCGTTCGAAGCTGTTTTTCTGGATTTGAAAAGTCAATCCAACATATTAGTTAAGTAAATATATTCTATGTTTCAGACCCATATAAACTAAAAATATAATTCTCGATTATAATATTTTTATTGGATATCTCAATTATGTTGTCACTAAAAAATAAATAATTCTCAAATATAAGAACATAAAATAAAGCAATTAAAAAGTCATACTGTCTGGCCCCAGAGAACTCCCTTGGAGTGCCTGTGATTTTGAATCCTGTGTCTGATGCACAACAATATTCACTTCTCCACCATCTGTAGATACACTTATCAAAGCATGTGTTATTATGCATGTCTACATCTGAAACGAAACATAAGTATTGCAGGAGTAACTATAGAAAACAAAAATTACGAAAAATAGTATCAAAATGCAGTGTTATTTATACAGCTACGAACTGAAATTTAGAAAGTAAATAATTTGTTTATGATTGGCTTTACACATAAAACTAACGAAAGTACAAAACTTAAACTATGAGCAGGCACGCATTAACAACGCCATAATAATTTAGAACTAAACATACTCTCTGGCATGGTAATTGCATCCGGATCAGAAATTTGCGGTGTAATTTTCATCATTCTGATTCCGGCTTCTGGAAATAGTGACAGGTGATCTTTATCGTTGATAATTTTCTTGGCGAATAATCTAATTCATGGACACGAAAATGAAAGCAAAGAAATTGAAGGAGGGACTTAGCAGAGTCACTTGAGCATCGTGTTTGTCTTGGAGTTCCATTTTATAGCCCCTTCTTGTTGACTTTGAATTCTACTGCCAGGTCTTCCTTACTGTCTTATGAACCCTACCCTAGCTACATATTCACCCACAGCGTTCTTTTGCACGTTTTTACATATTTAAATTAGTGTTTTTTGTTACAATCTTTATATTAATTTAACTTAAGCACCAACCAAACAAATATATTAGCATTATAGTATTTTAATAACAATTGAAAGTTAACGCGCTTTAAAATTTAAATGGCCTTAGTACATATGTTTGGAGGGTGCATTAAAATAGCAGCTTTAATAATCAAACAAAAAAAATTGCTTTCACACATATGTGGGCTGTAATGTAATTGTAGACACATGGCATGATGACATGTGACTTTTTTATTCTTATGTTTTGTTTCTTTATTCTGAGCATGCGATGCATGCAAGTGTTAATAAATCAAGAAGTTTTATTTACTAATAAGACAAAAAGCATTTTAGAATCCCTACAGTTCAACTAAGATAATGTGAATTTTAGACATTTTCTATAAAACCTGTTATCAAGTGAATTTTCCATCAATTTGGAGCAAAGAGGTAGATAAAGAATAAAGGGACATGGACATGACAAGTTTCTCAAAATGAGAAAATAAAATGTCTCCTTAATCAAGAAACTGGATATATGTTTCTCTTTTACAGGTCAAAGACACACATTACCTAGCATTTATACCATATTCTGTTAATGTTATTTTTTTTATATTAAAAGATTTGTATATCTATGATTATGTTGGTATACCCATTATTCTATTTCAAATATCCTACAATCAAGGAGATACTTTAGAAAGTATGCATATACTAAATACAAGTGCTTCTGTAATGTTTGTTAGATTATTGTCTTTGAAACCTTTATACAGATAGTTGCAGCTGTCAGAGGGGGACGGAGCTACAGTCAAAGAAAAAAAAAATATTAAAAACTATATACGATTTTCTTAAAAAATTATTTTTTTAATTTCGTCTCTGGCTGTGATTAAAGCAACACCAACATTTTCATCATTAATAATTATTAAATTGATTGCATTTGTACTAGAAGTGGCTTTGTTTGTCTCTCCAATTTAACATACACAACACAACGAATACCATCCAGCTAAGTCCAAGACTGAAATAAGGGTCCCATTGCAATTATGTACTTTAAATGGCTTTAAAAAAAAATTGATTTTCGTACCAAGGTTGTTGTTACATTGCATCTGATGTAACTTTTTTAATATTATTGTGTTTTTTTTATTATCCTTAGCACGTGATCAACTGACTAAATAGGAAAGCAAGTTGAACTATATCTATAATAAAAAAGGACCATTTGGAATTAGTCATTGGTTTAGGATTTAAAGAACTGTCATGCGAATTAGAGTATTAATATCAACATATCCTCCAGTTTAATTTTTAAAGCAGCATCAAACCTAACCCTTAAAAAAATAATGCGTGTTTTTATTAAAAAATATTTCCTAAAATATGTGTAATTTAAAAACATATTTTAAGTGTTATTTTAATTTTTATAATTGATTATATGAATAAAAACATATTTTTCTGAATAACTGATAATTTAGAGAGAGAGAGAGAGAGTAAATTTAAGCTTATACTGTATCTTAGAAGTAAACAAGTAAAAGGTTATTGAATGTAAAAAACAATTAATTGGGAGATGCAAAAGTTAAGAGAAAAATTCAAACACGGGTCCCACCACTATGATCAGCAAAAATAATTGCATAAATCCAATTTTAATAAACCGTACCAACACTTGATAATTTAACTCGTGATTGTTTCCACCAAAGCTTAGGTGTTTATTTATACAAAGACTACTGCTGAAGTCTTACCTGGCCTTATTAATGTCCTTTTCTCAAACTAATACTAACGCTAATAGTTTATAATAATTAATATATTCATACGAAGAAGGTAATAACAATAGATGGTTATTGTGAAACCTATTTGATAAATTTTTTAAAAACGGATAGGGAAAAAAATACTTATATAAAAATGACTTAATAGATAGGAAAGGTGTTTTATTTTCATTTTTATGGGTTGTCATCTATTATTTTATGTTCAAAAATTTAAACTATATGGATAAAATTAAGAGACCCTAAGTAATATATAGATAGATATAGGAACTAAACAACTATTTAAGTCACTTTTATAAAAATTAATCCATACACATGAAGAGGAAGAAAAACAATTAACCAATATTTTCGCTAGAACATTACTTAAATAGATTTAGGGTAAGTTGTTTTATGTTCTCTATTTTATAAAATAATAATTATTTTTAATAAAAAAATATTATTTTATTAAATATATATATATATATATTAAATTAATTTAATAAAAATTAATTTTTTTAAAACAAATATCAAAATAATTATGTAATATTTATTTATTTTATAATTTAATGCTTAAGATGAATTATTATTTTAAATTATTAGATTATTTATAAAAATAACATGTTAATTAAGTGTAATAAGTTTTTACTTTTTATTATAAAAGTGAGTAATTTTCTTTTATAATCTATATATTAAATTATTTTATTTAAAATAAAATTTATTTTTATTAATATAAATTAATTTTAAAATATTTTTTATTTTTATTTTTACTTAAATATTTTTTAATTAATTATTTTAATATATAAGTAGTTTAAAAAATATTTTATTTTTAATTATATTAAAAATTATTTATTAACTTATTTATCTAATATTCAATCACACTAAATTAACAATGATATTGGATTACATTAAATAAAAATAAAAATTATAATCTATTTTAAAATAAAATTAAAATTAAAATGGATAATATTTTAACACCCTAGCTTAAATATATAATTTCTTAGAAACAATGAAATCATGGTTACGTGTTTGTAAATTTTTACCTGCGCATTTACAGTAATTTTTTACTTTTCTCTTTCGAAAGCTTAAGTCAATTTGTCTTAAAAATTTGTTTTTATATTATGTGATTATACTTTTTCTAATTACAAAATTTGTCATAAATTTAACAAAATTCATTTTTTGAAGATTTATCTATAAATTTTAAAAAAAAATTCCGTTTTATTTTTTATATTTAAAATGAAACAAAATTAAAAATAGTTATATTATTTGATTCTGTGTCATGCACTTCAGGACAAAAATAGTTATCTTTCTATAAATTTTTGTAATGTTTAAGTCAATAAAAATGTAAAATAAATATTAATATCATATGTCATGAAAAAGGAAAGAATTAAATCTTTATAAGTTATTTTATATTGAGAATTTAAAAATCAAATATTATATATAGTAACGAGTTATATTTTTGTCATACGCAATCGTCACTGTAATTTGTCTATTACTGTTGTTTTTATTATTGATGTTTTTGACTGCATTTAACGTTTTTAATTGTTAGGTTCTTCACTATCAGGAATTC